GGCAGGCGCATAGGGTGCATTATGGCCAAAAAGGGTGGTGGTGGTGGGGGGGAAGGAGGGAGGAGCTACCCAGTGTCCCTCATCGAGTGTTTCCCTCTCTTGCTGCTGGAGCTGTCCTCTTTCACTGCCTGTCCAGTCATCTTCCGCCAACCACCGAGGTGGGTGGGTGGCATTTTTAACACGTAAGGTAGTCAACCTTATGCTTTTCCTCCCTACATCACACCTTTAAGTTCTAGTCAATACAAGGCCTTAAGGGTATGCTACACTAGAGGTAAAAACTCCAGAAAAAAATCTTTTGGCCCTACTAAAGCTTTCTGAACTATCCATGGACATGCTTAATGAATGTAAATTGTATGATTTACAGTGATTGATGCAATCTTCCAGAAAGATTCTACTGCATTATTTTCACACTCTTCTGTGTTAGGGCAGGAATCATAATTAAATCCTGTGGGAAGAAACACAGTGCTCATTATTAAAGATATGATGACAGGTAGGAAAAGAAAATCTAAAGTGGCTTTAAAATATATATTGTATGTGTTTTTTGTTCTAGGTTCTGCATGGTTGGAGATCTGATAGGATATCCATCCATAACAGTACTGCACCATTTCTCTCCTCCTTTTCATTAGCCCTTACATTTTGTACAAACAATGACATGCTATGGTCTCAAAGCACAGACCCCTGTGTCTGTGGAAACTGCTCTAACTCATGTCATGAAACTGGTCTGGTGCACAGAAAGCCCCAGGATCCGGGAAATGAAAAGGTGACATAAATCCACCATTGCAACATCTCCCTCCAAATTTCACCATGTATGCTTCAGCTGCAGCTGAAGTGTAAATGTCTATACAGTACAAGCCAGTGGAGAATCGGGACACTCACCCAAATAACCAGGAGTAACTCCCCTGAAGTATGAGAACAGAATCAGACCCATATCTCCAGTACAAAGCAATCACTCTATCTTTTTAGCCCCACCATGAATTTATAACAAACTTTTTATTATTATCATTTCTTGTCTGACCAGTATCGTTTGCTTGTCCACACCAGTTCAGGAAATCTCCAAATGAACCAATTAAAGTATCACACAGAGGCATGTAGCGACGAGTTCTATCAGAATAGCTAGTGACCAGCAGATGGTTATTTTCCCAGAACAGAGACTAAGGAGAGAAAACAAAACAAACCATTTTTTGAATGTGTATGCATACCGTCACTGCTGTGTGGCTGGGAAAACATTTTAAATCATGTTTTGAAATTATTTCTCAATACTTCAGAATCTCACAGATGGTTTGTTCTAATCAAACTAATATCAATTAAATACTTTAAAAACAATTCTACACTTCTTCAACTAATAAAGTTATAGGGACAAAGTTTGCCCTCACAATGGTGTAAACCTGGCATAACTTGAGAGTGGATTTGGGGGGGGGGGGAGTTTACACCACTGTGAGAACAGAGCCATAGAAGGACTCAAGGCCTCTAGAATTTGCCTGACTTGAGCTGACAGGTTTAGGAAAAGTTAGGCATATAGACACTAAGGACTTGTCTATATGGAGACTTAGTGTGCAGCAAGCCAGGGTGTGAAACTACAGTGCACTAAGTGACCATGTGGACCCTGCTGCCGTGCACTGAAAGTAGCACTATGGAACTTTTAGTATGTGGCAGCAGGGTCCACATGACCACTTTGTGTGTGGCAGGCTGGCATGCTGTAGATTTACACCCCAACTGGCTGTGCACAAGTTGCCATATAGACAAACCCTAAATACAAGTAAAACAAAACTAAGGTCTGATCTACACTACAAAGTTAGGTTGGCTGAACTACATGCCTTGTGCAATGTAATTGTCAACCTAAGCCCTGGTGCAGACACCGCTAGATGGTGGAAAAATTCTTCTGTCTTCTCAGAGAGGTGGATTTACTACAGCAATGGAAAAACCTCTCCTGTCCCTGTAGTGTCTACACCACAGTGGCGCAGCTGTGCCACTGTAGGGTTTCTAGTATAAACATACCCTTTGCAATGGTGACATTGAAATTAGAGAGCTCACTTGACAGAGTTGAATGAAGATATTTACTTGTAAACATGCATAAGATGGGTTTTGAGGTTGGTTTAATTAAAGTGCTTCGAGGGCTTTTATAAACTTTCAGCTGTTCAACTGGACACATACTTATCTGTAATGTGCTGACCAGCTTAAAATCATAATTATTTGGTTGCAAGTTCAGTATTGTAGCAACTAATTCTAAACCACATTACATTGCTCTGACACTTCATTGCTGTGGGGTCAAGGCTTGAACACTGGTTCTCAACCTTTTGGTCTGCAACCCACAAAGTGGGCAGAAAATTATTGCATGGCCCACCATATCAATTCTGGTCAATTTTGGACTACTAAGTCATTGTAGAGATGATAGATGATCATTAACATACCATTCATAATCAGTACCTTGTTAGGTGGAATTGTGTGCAGTGACAGGTTAATAAATAACTCATAGTCCGATGGTAAAATGTTGCAAGGATCTTTATTAATAAAAGCCTTTTTGAAAGCTTCCCATATCTCTGTACAGTTCTTCTCACTATAATAATTAAAACAAACAGTAATATTATTTTCCCATAGCAGACCAGCAATATGTGCTTTGTTCACAACCTCCCACAATCCCCAAAGGAAATAAAACTAAGATTATTAAGGTGGGGGGAAGTTTGTGATACATTAATGAAATCATTAGCCCATCAACTAGTATCTAAGACATGAGGATTTGCACTAGGATTATTCAGCTAGACTCTTATAATAATTCAGCAAAAACCATGGGCAGCATAGTATTCATAATGAGTCTTGCTATGCAGTACTGTAGAACTAGTGAAAATGGGATTTATTACTTTAAAATGTTCTAACCCCAAAAGAACCATTTGTAGCAGAGTTTGGCCACAGCGACCAAAGTCTCTAAGTGACCATAGATTACAACTGAAACATAGGATTCAGGGATCTCATTATCCCTTTTCCCGCTAGATCAAAGACCCGTCTACTATAAGAAATCATTTCCCTATATAGGTACTTGTAGACTGTGATTAAGTCACCACTTAACGTCTTCACTGACTTCAATGGGAATTTAAGGCTAGGTCTATACTACCCGCCTGAATCGGCGGGTAGAAATCGACCTCTCGGGGATCGATTTATCGCGTCCCGTCGGGACGCGACAATCGATCCCCAAATCGGCGCTCTTACTCCACCAGCGGAGGTGGTAGTAAGTGCCGCCGACAGAAAGCCGCAGAAGTCGATTTTGCCGCCGTCCTCACAACGGGGTAAGTCGGCTGCGATACGTCGAATTCAGCTACGCTATTCACGTAGCTGAATTTGCGTATCTTAAATCGACTCCCCCCTGTAGTGTAGATGTACCCTAAGTTTAGAAGTAAATGCCTGAACAATTCATTTACTGCATATTTTTCATTGCTTGTCATCTCATGTTTGAGCAGCATGTAATACAAAATCAAAAGTATTATTCTGCTCCCCTACTGAAGATATTGTAATTAGCAACTACTTGTTGAAACTATGGAGTGGGGGTAGGGAAGGCACATAGATAAGCGTGATTCCTGGCAAACTTAATACAGATAGCAACAAGTTATACAGGATTTATTTTGTAGTAGTCAGCTAAAGAATGAGAAGTAATCTACACCGACAGCAAATGGAATTTATAGAACCATGTGTATATGTATTACAGAAGTGTGTGTATGCATGAATATAGCATTTGTTTGTTAGAAACCTCCGTTAGAGTAACAGTGAGACTTTCATTATAATCCCTTATTTTCACATGTTCATAACATTCTGAAAAATTCTTCTTTTTTGGCTGAAATTTTTCCATGCTTGGTCTTAATCTGAAGGTAATTTGTGTAAATGTTTTAGCAAAATCTATACATCCATTTATGAGTTATGTGAGAATGAAAAAAAAATGGGGCGGAGCAGGGGCTTTGGGGAAAGGAGTGGAGTGGGGGCAGGGCTGGGGCACTGGGAAGAGGTGGGGCTGGGGTGGAGCAGGGCCGGAGGCCATGGGGAAGAGGCGGAGCAGGGGCTGGAGCAGCATGCAGCTGCGTAGGGCACCAGGAAAATTGGTGCCCCAAATTTCCTGGTGCCCTACGCAGCTGTGTATGGGTAGGGATGGCCCTGTCAGTATGGCTCTATAGGATGGAATATCTGATTTTTCAGGTTTTTTTTTTAAATGTAGGAAATTACATTTTAAAAACCCCTACATTAAAATAATGTTAAGGTTACAAAGTCAAGCACTCAAAAAATAGGAAATGTCAGAATAAAGGTTGCCTGTGTAACCTTAATTCAGCCCCTTTGTGCATATGCATTATGATAAAATCTTTAACTCACACCTACTGTTTTTTCCACAAGGCCTCTGCCTTATTAGTACACAGGCTGGATGATGCTCTGGGGATGAATCAGGGCTTTGTAGTAAATGAGGCTGTTGCCTGTAGGATCCCTGCCTCATGTGATACATAAATTGGAAGTTGTGTACTGCTGGGGATTACAGGAAGAGAAAGGATGGTCTATTTAAGGAAGCTGAATGCCATACAGGAGAATTAGATTCCATACTGACTGTGCCACAGAGTTACTGCGCCATGCTGGGCACCCTTAATTCTGGCATTTCCTAACTTTTGAGTGCTTGACTTTGCAATCTTAATATTGTTTTAATGTCATTTTGGGATACATATATGTACATATTATGTGTGTGGTGGATCCAAGACACTAAGATGGCAGACTTATGCTATCTAAAGTTGCAATTCATAAAATATAACATTTCAATGTGCAGTTTCATAAAATATTGTTCAAAAATGTTTACCAGACTAGTTTTAATCATATGGGGTAAAATTTCCAAAAGTGCCTTAGTCTCACTCGCACTATGTTAACTCTTATATATTTATTCCACTCTATATGCATCCGAAGAAGTGGGCTGTGGTCCACGAAAGCTTATGCTCTAATAAATTTGTTAGTCTCTAAGGTGCCACAAGTACTCCTGTTCTTTTTGCGGATACAGACTAACACGGATGCTGCTCTGAAACCTACGTTAACTCTAAATTTTGAAATATAATTTGGTGGATATGAAAAGGAAGAGGAGAGAAGATTGAAGATTCAGTAGGGGCAATTAGTCATTTGAAACTCAAATTAAACAAAGTCTTGAACTTCTGAAAAGTTTTATTAGAAGGCTGACTATTGCTACAGAAAAAAAGCCCAAATGTACAGTATTAGCATTCATTAAGGCCCAAGACAGAGGGCGCAGTCTCTACCCATGTAGTAAGCTAAATTCTACTTTTATTAATACCTATGAATAGCATGAAATCAAAAGGTCATATCACAACACAATGTAGTTCTATAGTTGATACACTGTATTGCATCACTAACCAAAATTTAGATTATGGAGCATTTCTCATTTTATTCAGTTAACAGCATTCATTATCAATTAAAGAAATAACAAGATCAACCTAGGCAAAAGTTTCTTATTGCATTACTCCAGTAAGAGTTCTCCTACCTTTTTTTTTCCAGCAGGCTGCAGAGGCTTTCAAATTACAACCTTGGAATTTGTGTATCTTAAAGAATTCTCAGCTGGATATTAAGGTAGAAATTCTTAGATGTTACTCCAGCCAGGCATTTCCAGAAGCCTTCTGCTCTAATCTCCTTGGAACTAGCTTTTTTGTCGTCGTTCCCCCCCCGCCCCTCCTACAAAATGTTACATTATTCAGAATAGATGAGTGTCTTATAACAACAAGACACTTGTTTTTTGTCAGAAAGGTGCATAAGCCTTGTTTTAATCTAAATATTCCAGTCAATACCTATTTTTTTGCAGGATGAGCTCAGAATCTTAGTCTTTGTTAAAACGCGTTCTAATGAAATCATGGGTCACACCAATTTCAGCAAAAATCCTATTTAAGTCTCATCTCACCAGTTTCAACATTTTCACCATTGTTATTCATATGGGTCCACAAGTCTATTGTATCATTCATTGGAACTAGAATTTAGGGTTAATGTAATACAGTTAAAGTTACTATGAGAAACGTGTCAATATGGCCAGGTTTTGGCTGTCAAAAATTCACATACATTACAACATAAAGCACAAGAGGGTTAAATTAGCTATCCTATCCCTTCAGCTTTTTTCATTAGGGTCCCTAAAGTATAAAAGAAAAGATCAGCTAAAACCTGAAGAATTCCTGAAATATTGCTCTTCCCCACCACCCCAGATGCCTTTAATATATTTATTTTTACTAGATTTCTTAAAGATGAATTTTGGATTTCTCAACAACTACAAATATGTTGGTTTCAACAGGACTATTCCTATGATTAAGACTGTCATATCAGGTCCATGATTTGTAAAACCATTAAAGTGTGGAGACTGATTCAGAAAGAGAAAAGTACTTACCCAACACTTGGATTCACAATTCTAATATATTCATAACACCTTCCAATTACAATGCTCTCCAGGTTAGATGTGGTGCCTTCACCTTTCCATTTCTTCTTCCCATCTATTTCTGTGGGTTTAACATAGTCTTTACTGAAAAGAAGACCTACTAGCAGAGACAAGAAGAAGCTTTTCATCATGAAATTGTGAGAACCAAAGTCATAAAGAAATAAAATAATCAAATGTCCAAATGGAAAAGAGAAGACTGCAGTTTTATGTTTGTGTATCAATATAGGCTGTGGACCTGCACTTAAATGATTCTAGGTGCAGAGTCAGATAGAAAACAAACTTTATTGTGAAATGCAACAGCTTCCTGGAACTATTGCAGAGCTAAAACTCCTTAAAAAATCAAGCTTGTAAAACTATTTGTACTATTGCCATCTTGTGACTATTAGATAATATTACACCCCCTCTAAACATATCACTAATGTACCATTAACAAAAATTCAGATTTGCTGAATACTCATTGCAATCCTATAATATACTGAACATGGCAATTTGCTCTAATGAAAATATTTTAGTACCATTTGATTTCAAACAGTGTTACACTTCTTACATACCTTTTTCTACTGACTGCACAATTTGCTGAAATAATGTCAAGAATAAACAGAGAGACAAGATGGGTGAGGTAATACCTTTTATTAGTCGAATTTCTGTTGGTGAAAGAGACAAACTTCTGACCTGAAGAAGTGCTCTGTGTAGCTTAAAAGCTTGTGTCTTTCACCAACAGAAGTGGACCAATTAAAGATATTACCTTACTTACCTTGTCTCTAATATCCTGGGACCAACATGGCTACAACAATACTGCAAAGGATGAACTGCAAAGGAACACACAATAATTGAAACACTAACTTCATAACAAGAGTTCACACATCCTAACTCTCAGATGGTCTTACAACACAATCAGTATAGGTGACATAAGTATTGTCCATATCTTTTCATTTCTCTGTGGATTCTGGCAACAAAACTTGTGTTGTGATAAAACAGATTATAAAGTCTTCCTGGTGAAGAAAACTGCCTTGTGGTCTGGAATCAATTGCACTCAGAATCAAATGGATTAAACTTAACTTCCCGTGTATTGAACAAATTGATTTATCTCTCTCTCTCTCTCTCTCTCTCTCTCTATATATATATATATATATATATATAGATAGATACAGATAT